CTAAATTAACAATTTCAGAGGTGCCGGCAGGGATCAAACCTGGTTTTCTTGCGTACTGTGAAATTTACAGCGAGCGCTAACCATCTGAGATACCACGGCTCTACGGTAAAATAAGTAAAAACTATAAAAAGTGTGCCATGAACGAACGTCACTAGTTTATCTTATCTAGAAATAAAGAAGTTTGTGGATTAATACGTAAGATTTCAATGAAATGTTTACTTTTATAAAAAAAGGTCGAGCACAGTTTGTGGACAGAATTCGACCTCCATTTTGACTTTTCCGGGGTCAAAATAAATCTTTGTTGTTTAAAGATGTATGTTTTGTGATTTAAGACTTAACTAATAACTAAAAAAGAAAAAAAATATGTACTTAAATGAGAAACTTTACTTAGCCGACAAATTAATATTTTTTACTATGTGCGAGCAACTTAGCAGGTGTAGGTAAAGAGACCAGTATCACTGCGATCTAAAAGATCTATTGTAATCGCTGCTATTATTTCATTCCATAGGAATTATTCCATCTTCCCCGCTTGTTTTAAACGATTTAAAAGAGTCGACAGCCCACTGCAACAGGTTTGGCCTTCTTTGGCCATCTTTGCAGTCCTACACCAATCTACGTTACAAGGCTTTCGTAGGCGTCGAAAGAATTCAAGGCAGAAGTCTTATTTGACCCTGGGATATGGGTTGACGCTAGTAACACCAATGTTTATGTTTCACTATTAGTGAAGTTACCATCATTCTTTTAAAGAAGCACGATCTGATTAGGTTTAGCTTTCGATGGCATTTTGTGTAGTCTTGCACTGCGAGTCAAAGACTAAACTTCCTCACGTAGCTTGCTCCACGATGCTCTCTTGACTTTCCTAATTACTTTATTATGTTCAGTTAGGGCTGCATTATAAATATCCCAATCTTTAGTTTCTTTAGCCCTATTAAATAGTTTCCAGGTCGTTTCTCTAAGTTTTTATCTTTGTATACCAACAAGGAACTATTCGTATGGTCTTGGTTTTGACGGGATAGCTGTCCTCAAAGGCTTCACCGTTATCTATGGTTACTGTCTCCGTCGCTAACTCGACTTTCAATCGTTTTGATGCTTTTAGGAAACGTTTCCGAATTCCTCCTTAGGCTACCTCTATAGATATCTCAGGAGGTCGCTTTTGGATCCCTAAAAGCCACGGTTTCATAGGATGGTGATTCTTTAATAACAAACTTAATGTATTTGTGACCAGACATCGAGTATTCACTACTTACCTGCCAGTCATTTATCCGCATGTACATGTTGTTGGTAGCAAATACTATTTATCTGGTATTTGAAAAGGACGAAGAGAGAACGAAAAGTGAAATATGGGTAAATGAGGAATGTCTAGAACAGGTAAATTAAATTGTATACTTGGGGAGTGCTTTCAGCCGGGATGAAAGATGTGATTTAGATGTGGACAGGCGTGTTGCTGCCGGTAACAAAGTCAATGGTGCCCTGAATGTGTTAGTCAAAAAGGCAAGGCGTAGTGAAGAGTGCACGCCTTGCAATACATAACGCAGTGTTGGTGGCGACTTTGTTATATGGCAGCGAAACCTAGGTATACCAGAAGAAGCATAAAAGCAAGTTGAATGCAGTGAAGATGCGATCTCTTCGTAAAATGTGCGGCATTACCATAGCCGACCGAAAGCGAAACGAAGAGATTCGCAATATGGCAGGATTGAAAGATACCTTGCCACAAAAATTGATAGCGGCGTACTCCGATGGTTTGGGCACGTTGAGCGAATGAGTGAAGACCGAATAGTGAAGAAAATATATAGCGCGAAAGTCAATATTAAAAGGTGTCGAGGTAGACCGAGACTAACTTTCGAAGACCATGTGAGCAAATTACTCGAAGAAGGTAAGATCAAGAGTACTCGGATACCTAGACGTGCATGTATGAAGAAGTTAATGAACATGAAAGAAGCGAAAGAGGTATGTAAGGATCGTGACACATGGCGATCTGTTCTCTCTGGCTACCCCGTTAGGGATTGTGCGTGAGAATAAGTAAATACTATTTATAACACTTCTTGCCTAGCAAGCGTTACAAAGGTTAGTATACACCCTAGGCTTAGGATTATCAGGCGGTTGGAGATGAGAAAATCATAATACTACTCACTTCACCTCTTTCGTTAATGTTAGTGCTTGCCCAGGTGTGTGGTGGTAAGCATCACAACCCACTACAAGTTTGGTGTTGTGTTTACGGTCGAATTCCGCCACTCGCTCTAACTTGATGGTAGGATCTGAGTTCTCCCCAGAATCTCTTGAGATTTATGAAGGCTGTAACCAGATCATCGTTGCAGTTCTCTGAAACAGCTAAAAGTTCAACATTTTTATTGTAAATTATACAAGCTCTTGGTCAACTACCCTTAGTATTGACTAGAATCTTACCGGCAGGCGTCAATTCCACAACTTGAACGTTGGCCACCCAAGGCTCTTGTATGAGGGCGACGTTAATGTTGTCCTCTGTAAAGCAAACCTCCACCACGGCAGAAACAGCGTCGGTTGCCCGTCATTACCTACCCTTATCTTATCCTTGGTGTTAGCTGTTTATGGGCGTGGGAAGGGGGTGGGCGTCAGAGGTTATTTTCGCCTGTTCAGGACGAAGACTATACCAGATATAGTAAGTAAATATTCGGTCACGCCCGGCAGAGCCCGCATGCCAAGGGAAGGGCTAAAATACTACCCTAATCGCCCTGGTCTTGGGTAGGCAACGTTTGCGACTGGATCTCCTCCAGTCACGCATCCATCGGCTGCGAAAAAGCGGCGAGTTATAAGAACAGAAAAAGAGGGTCGTCTGATTGTTTCTGTTCTGTCTGTTTCCTATTGAACCAGACCAAATAACCGGCGGCAACCACGTGAAGAAAGAACTCCTCAGACTTTTCCTGGGGATCAACATGACCTGCGCTCTCAACCAGAGCCATTGGTCAATCTGCTCGCTGAACAGGAGAGCAGAATAGGTATTCATCTAGTCCTACTGACAATGTTAAAAAGTTAGGAGTAGACTAACCCCCGCCCAAATAAATATTAATTTTTAACATTAAATATTTTCTTATATCACTTATTTTAAACATTTTAGTCTGTGTATCACGTTAAATATATAAAAAGATGGTTGAAAATGTTTGAAAGGGGACGACTTTACTGCTAACTACGTTTAGTTGTTCTACGAACTTGGATTAATATTTTTTTCTTTACTAGAATACTTCTTTACTTTACTGTAATAAAGAACTGTCGTTGACCTGAAACACTTTCTCATTTTAGGCAGTGTTTTATCTGTATGGCGAATTCAAATCAACAACCTTTTGCGTCCGCATCCTACATTGGGCTAATGTCACTTAACCTTTCAACCCTCGAGCGGTCTTATGAGACCGCGGCCATATTTCATCAAATCCCTAGAAGTCTCACGAGGTCGCACCCACCCACAGCACTACAACCCTTATGGGTTACACTTATATATAGAGACCACTTTTCGATGAAGAAGTTAGGCACTATAGAATCAATATGAAACTTTCTATCTTTTAGTGCAATAAGAAGTTAGTTATCCTATAGATATTTATTTATAATCTAAGTTCATTTCGTACGACATTTTCTGGTCAATGTAATTGTGTTGATTTTTGGATTTTTCTAGTGTTTTATTAGTATTTTAGTATAGTGTTTTATTATAAAATTGTAATAAAAGTTTTTGTGTGAATATAATTTATCTTTCTACGTAAATAATTTCGAGTAATATATATTGAAATAATTATTATTTTTACGCTGCCGACATTCGCTTGGTATGTTTTGTTTTTGTTATCAAAATACAATAGTCTTTTTTAATGAAATAAGACCTGACTTTTATATAGAAAATTTTGTGTAGATTTTATAACACCAAACGTCTTCATAAAAAAGTAGTCTCCAAATATAAGTTTAAGTGGTTTAAAGTGCTGTCGCATGCGACTGCTCGGCATCTGCTGGGATTTTTATGGCCCTTGAAGGGTTTAAAGTATAGTATATTATAATATAAGTATAAAATATGTAAAAAAAATTATAAATCCTTATGTTATGGATTTGTTATGACAGAAACTTACGAATTACGACTAATTACATCTTTTTAAATTATCCATTTGTGGTTGAAGTAAAATAAATAAAATAAGAATAAAATATTTAAAAAAAGCTATAATACACACATATTATACATTATATTATATTATATTATATTATATAATATTATATTATATTATAGTATATTATATTATATTATATTATATTATATTATATTATATTATATTATATTATATTATATTATATTATATTACACATAAACGATATTGGAAGCGAGCTAAACTGATAAAAGTGTTTCATAAAACATTGTACTTCTGTAAAGTACAAATACAATAGTGTTTTATTGCATTTGTACATATCTTCTAAAAATTAGCTTTTTTAACTTTTGAACAAATATGCTATGTGTATATGTAAAATATATTGGAATATTCGTAATGCTAATGTTATTTATTAACGCTCAATCATATACATGATTCTTTTTCATCAAATTGCAAGGTCAGGTAGTGAAACATCTGGTGGTATCACGTTTTGATGTATGTAACATTTCATACAACTGCTTTGAACCCTGTAAAACACTCTTTACATATGACCTAATTCTACAGTATCCACTTCAGTAAAGATTTCGGTAAAGATTTTATTTTGACAGCTGATTCTTTAAACGTAACACTTAACTCTAGCGAAAGTAAGTATAACACAAATATAGACTTTAACCGCCTTATTCCAAAACGCGGACTAAATATGGTACTGGAGTTAGTACCAGGTTTAAACCATAACTAAATAAAACGTTATTCCAAAACGAAGATTATCTCTGGTTCTAGGACTATCTATGGTACTAAAGTTAAACTTCCGAGACCCCTAGTTTAACTATGGTACCAACCTCAAATTCAGCACTTCTTTATTTGACGTTAGCGACCGTTGTTTTCATTTCGTGTTTTTAATCGTTAAAAATGGATATAAACATGATTGACTTGATGGATTTAGAAGATTTGGACATGCTAGAGACCACTCGGCGACCTGATAGACATCGTCAACGTATGAATACTTTTGAATTGAGTGACGAAAATTTTAGGTATAAGTATAGGTTCTCAAAACGTTTCGGTAAAAAAATTGTGGATCTTTTACGTGAGGATTTAGTGCACGACTCTCGAGGATGCCCACTGAGTCCTGAAATCCAAGTAGTTTGTGCATTACGCAACTGGGCTCGCCATGAAGTAAGTGCTATTTAATAATCTTGGTCAATGTATCCAACATAACGCTAGATAAAAAGCCAAAAAATACATATTATTGTTTTATTCGTAGATTCAAGACGATACAGGTGATTTACATGGTGTGTCTCAACCAATAGTCAGTAGGACATGTAAAAGAGTAGCGGAAATTTTGTCACGAATGTCCCGAGAATTTATTAAAATGCCTACTTCTTTAAATGAACAACAGGAAACCATTAGGAAATTCCGCAGTATTGCTAATTTTCCTACAGTAATTGGCGCAATTGACTGTACTCACATAAGAATAAAGAAAGTAAATGCTAATGGGGGTCAGTTATATATTAATAGAAAAGGATTTTCTTCAATTAATGTACAGGTAATGTACAAATATTTTAAATAAGCTGTGATTGTCTCTAAATAGTAATTTACTTTACCAAAATAGAAAATAATTTGTTTGACTATCATATGGCAAAAAATGTAGATTAAAATAGTAATATCTGTTACAATTTTGGTGCACAATAAAATATAACCAATCTATATCAGTAAAACAAAGGACTAATGAGCTCTCACTTTTCAGGTGGTTTGTGATGCTAACCTGAAAATCATGGACATTGTTACTAGGTGGCGTGGCAGCGTACATGACTCTAGAATATTCCGAGAATGTAGACTAAAACAGAGGTTTGAGGCTGGTGCATTCTCTGGAATATTACTTGGTGACAGTGGCTATCCTTGTACTCCATACCTATTTACACCACTGCTGAACCCAACAACACCACAAGAAGAAAGATATAATAGGAGTCATATCCGTACCAGGAACACGGTGGAAAGATGTTTTGGTTTATGGAAGCAACGGTTTCGTTGCCTATTAAGAGGTATGTTTGGGGACATTGAAACAGCAAAAAAAAACAATTGTTGCATGTGCTGTACTACACAATATTGCCATTGACATGAGAGAAGATGTATTTTCTGGTGAGGTAGATAGCACTGAACAATATTCATCTGAACCTATAGTACAAAGATATATTCCACCATCAATAAGGGGAAATATTAGGAGAAGACAGTTTATTGAAAATCATTTTCAGTAGGTAAACATTTTTTTTACAATTTTTATGTAACAATCCATAATTAAAATTTATAATTTATTATTAAATTTATAAAATTATTACAATTTTTCAATTGTCAAAGGCTATATGTACATTTAATTTATTTTATTTTGTAATTTAGGGGCCAAGCTTCATTGAATAAAAATAATGTAATAAAGAGGTCAATAAATATATAAGACAATTATAATAATTATTATATTTTGATTTCAGACATAATACTCATTTATAAAGTAAAATCTTTCCGCTGAGCCGTTGTCAGCTGACAAATAATAACAACTATATATTACAGTTTTCACCAATATGGAATAAATCACGGGAAGTACTGTGATAATATTTAATTTATTGAGTTAAATGCTTTTATTTAAGCCATAATGATTGTGTTTCAGGGAAAGATGTGGGGTACAGCATATTCCACATCAATATGAAGCTATGTTTATATAGACTTAAGTGCTGTAGAGATCTGTTTAGATTTTTTAATGAATATTGTCGCTCTGCTACATTCACAGCTGGATTTCCTTTGCAGAGGTGCAAGGGTTCACAGGAAGTAGGACTGTGTGATAATTAAGTAATTAGGTTTAGTTTATTATGCCAATGTTATGTTAATTAAATAAATATTGTTTATAATTATTTATTTTAATTATTATTGAAAGATGTACAGATATTTGCAGCAATAAGTACCTGAAAAAAATAATTTCATATATCAGAATATTTACAAACATGTATCTGATATAGTCTTGAATATTTAGTTTTTTTTTAATAGGATGATGGTGACAAACGAGCACACAGTTCACCTGATGGTAAGTAGTTGCTGGCACATAGACATCTACATCTATCCTCGACTATGAATCAAAATGAAGATGCGTTGTCACCTGTGAGGGCTAAAATGGAATTCCTCGTTTCCAGTAAAAGGGGTCTCTCATACAAAATTTGTCAATAAAAGTTTAATGGCCAAATACTCCTTGTGGTGTCACATTCACTTTGACTTAGTGATAGAGATAGCATGAGACTTAACTGCATCTTAAAAGTGAGTAGTGTTAAAGTATTTGGGCATAAATGTTTTACTAAAGAAAAATTAAAAAGGGTTATTATAATATCAAAGAATACATAAATGAAAATAACCCCTGCAAATGAGGTGATCGCTGCTATGCTGTTTCTATTAAAATTAATTTAAAAATTGTAAACCAAAATTTGTAAAGTGAAATATGTTTAAAAGAAAAGTCCCGCTGGGTTTCTTGCTGGTTCTTCCCAGGACAGAGGTATTTTCCAAACCAGTGGTGAATAAAAAATGTCTTTTGAATAAATGTTATGTAATAATCTATATTGAATAAAACTCATTCTATTCTATTCTATTCTGGTTCTATACACTCACCATATGAAACACAGTAGCATTAAGCTGCTATTTAACTTGTATTTTTTTGACTTTCTAACAAAGATATTTGTAATTCTAATTTTTTAATTTTTAATTTGGCTATTTTAATGTTGTATTTATGTTCCTCTTCCATCATTTCTAGTTGTCTTTTTTTAAAATCTGTATTGCTTTTTATGATTGTTTGCTGTATATCTTCTCTTCTGTAAAATGAAATAGAATACTTAATGTAAGTTTTTTTTTATGTACTAAGTATTATGAAGTAATAAAAGTATGTACTAGAATGGAAGTTAACCTTGTAGGCAAAAGAAATATATTTATAGTTATTTTTCAATCAATTAATATTAACTTTGCTTTTTAATATTTGAAAATATGAAACATTTTTAGTGTTTAATTAAATACTAATTTTCAAATGTTAAAAAGTATGAGATGTATTAAAGTAATTATTTCAACATACCTATTTTGCAAGCCCTTTTTCCTGTCTTTTGTTTTTGTAATGCCCCTTGTATTAGCAGTTTCATTGTTGGTTATTTTCATTTCTGTGTCCGTAGTTGGATCGTTTGATATCTCTAAAAATTAATATAAATAAAGGTTATAGTAAATTAAACATGTTTAATATTGAGACAAATTTGTGTATTACATAATATGATTGTAACTATAATAATAATATATTTTGCTTTTCAATAAATAATCAATAATTATTATTTACCTTGCACCTCGACATTGAGTTCTGGATATTCTATGTTTATAACTACTGGTGTGTCATTTTTATTAAAACTAGGGCAAGGCTTAGGGTCAGCAAATATTTCTTTTGTAGTTGTAGCCACAGTCACTGGATTCTAAAATAAATTACTAAAACATTTATTATCATGTTTTCCTGTCATTACCTATATAATATTTCCCTTAACTGAATCAGGTATTTTATATGCTGTGGAAATATTACGATCGAGGCAATAGGTAATACAAGTTATTAATTATAAAATAGAAAATTATAGTCGACCAGTGTAGATAATCTAGTAAGATGTATGTTATGATATATAAACCACTATGTATGAATTTATGACATTTCAATTTTGAATAAGAATGAATTAATTGAAAAGAAATTATTACATACGTATATTAAGTTGAATATTTGAAAAATAATTTTGTATTGTAAATTGTATGCCTTAATGGCAGATTATTTATACAATTTAGTAAATATATTTAGTATACAAAATAAAGTTATTTCATTAGAATTAAATGTGTAAGACATAAGTAATTTTATTTACCACTGCATCACTATCATAATCGTTAACTTCAATGACAAAGTCGTGAGGAGCAATTGCCATAATTTGTAAGTCCTCAGGAGTAGGTGATAGTGGTTTTTCGCCACCCCCTGTTTTTGATCGTTCCCTCCTATATGTACATAGGTTTGATTTAGCCGACAACTTCATCCTCTTCCAAGCTAACTTCAATTCCCCATCTGATCGGCATTTACCTGTTATCTCATTAAATCTAAAATAAAAGAACAAATCTTGTAAACAATACCGTGCCTACTTGTACACAAAAAATGCAATAAGTACTTACTTATTAGTTATATTCTTCCACTCTTTTATTTTTTTCATGTTTACGCACGTTTTCGTCGACTTATCTTCTAAAATAGGTGCTGATTGAGCAATAAAAGTACGTAATATTTCCTATAATAATAAGAATATTCTTTTTAGTCGAAATAAGGATGATAGGAGGATAAGAGCGTTGTTACGCACTAACAAATAAATTACGATGTTTCACTAACTTTTTCTTCTGAACTCCAATTTTCACCCCTTTTTTTCTTTTGTTCCATTATTATAAATATAGATCCAAATAATCCAAATAAAACCTTACTATCTGCAATACCACAATACTGAGATCAATGCAATGTATTAAAATAAGAGCATTTACTTATTATACATAAGGACGCAACATAAAAATTTTGAACGTTTTTATTCACGCGCTCGCGGTACTTATGTAATTTACTCCATTTCACGGTAGAGTCGTTAAAATGAAAACGATTATAAAAAGCACTTTAATAAAAGTATGTCGTGATTGTTTAATAGATTTTTACCTAAATAAATAACAATATGTTTTTGTATTGATGGATAATTATTTAAGCTATATTAAGTGTGAAAATAATATTAATATTTAACGAAACAGAACGTTGCATTGAATGAAACCTGTAGGAACGAATGAAAGAATGTAATTTCTTGTTTCTTATCTGTGGATGATATTTAAACCACGACGAATTTTGGTACTAACTAGTCCACGGATAGTCTGCGTTTTGGAATAAGAACACATTTTGATACTGGTACTAAAGTTAATACCGTAACAAACCTGGATCTGTTAGTCTTGGTTTAAACCAGGATCAAAACATTTTTTTGGAATAAGACCGTAAGGGTTTCCTTGTCGAGTTGGGCGCCGTCGTAGGCCGCACTCTCGTCCGGTTCTGGTGCTCGGGGATCTCGATGCCAAGTCATCAGCGTGGGGATCTCCGATCACTGACCCTCGGAGCGAGGTGCTAGAAGAGTGGATGATGATGACTGGTCTGGTCGTCCTGAATCCGTGTTCGGAATACACGTGCGTGCGCATAGCGTGCGTTGCGGCTTGTCGCCGGTACACCCGATACTGGAGGCGGCGTCGACGGGATTCCGCCGAGGAAGACGCGCTGTATGAGGTGTACCGCGCGTCTAAGAAAACACTGTGACTGGCCATCGGCGACTCGAAGTCGCATGCCAGGGTCCTCCCTGGCACGCGACTTCGAGTCGCCGATGGCCAGTCACAGTGTTTTCTTCTGCGCTTTCTGCTGCTGGGGTCCCTAGATGGTGATCCGTGGGGGCGCCCCTACCGTTGGGTACGGGGCAAGTTGCGTTCCTGGGCGCCTCCACTAACGCAAAGCATGCAACCCCAGTTGCTAGAGGCGGTGGTATCGGCTGTCTTCCCTGAACGAGTGTGACAGGTTCCACATCATGGCTCACCCTTAGCCACAGACTCTCCAGAAGAGGAGAGCACTGATGTCCCCAAGGTGACGCAAGCAGAGATGGGAGCGGCCGTGGCGCGACTCCGGGCCAAGAACGCAGTGCCCGGACACAAGGGGATTCCTGGTCTAGCTCTCGTCCTGGCTCTGAAGGAGCTGGAGCCTCAGCTTAGGGGGCTCTTCACGGCATGTCTCGAGCAGGGTCAGCTTCCCAGTGTGTAGAAGGAGGGTAGGCTGGTCCTACTCAGGAAGGAGGGGCACCCCGCGGACTCACCGTCCGCGTACCGACCCATAGTGCTACTCGACGTGGCGGGCAAACTTCTTGAGCTTATCATCGCAGATCGCCTCGTTAGCCACTTGTGCAGAGAGGGGCCGGACCTGGACGAGAACCAGTAGTATTCGTCGCGGGCGCTCCACCATAGACGCTATTACGCGCGTGAGGGCCCTGACGGAGGAGACAGTATCCCGGGGTAGGGTGGTGCTGGCGGTGTCTTTAGACATTTCCAACGCCTTCAAAACACTACCCTGGAGTTGTATTCGGGAAGCGCTTAATTACAATCGCGTGCCTCCCTACTACCCTACTCTACCCCACAATAGGGGCTTACCTTGAGGAGAGATGCGGTACGTATTGGGGACGTGACAGCGCTGGTCGGCGCGTCATGTCGTGCGATGTTCCGCAGGGATCGGTGTTGGGACCGCTCCTGTGGTACATCGGCTACGACTGGGTGCTGAAAGGTGAACACACGTCGGGCACCAACTTGACGTGTTATGCGGACGACACGCTCATCACTGACCGGGGGAGCTCGCACAGGGAAGCAGCGTTGGTTACCACGGCTACGGTTTCACAAGTGGTGAACCGCAACTGGCGTCTGGGCCTGGAGGTGGCCCTAAATAATTCGGAGGCCATGGTGACCATGGCCCTCGACGCGAGCCGCCGCCGTGATTACACAACGTGGTCAGCGGGGCCCGGATAGCTGTCGAGTCGACCATGAAGTACCTGGGATTGGTGCTCGACAGCCGATGGGAATTCGGACCCCACTTCCGGCGGCTGGCGCCTAAGCTGATGCGTGCAGCGGGCGTGCTATCAACGTTGCTTGCCAACCTGGGGGGCCCGAGCGTCGCCTGTAGGCAGTTGCACGTGGGAATCGTGCGGTCCATGGCCCTGTATGGGGCCTCTGTGTGGGCGATGGACATGACGGCCAGCACTCTCGCCATTCTGCGCAAACCACAGAGGTCAATGGCCGTCAGAGTCATCCGCGGGTATCGCATGATTTCCTAAGAGGCGGCTTGCGTCCTGGCCGGATTTCCGCCCTGGTACCTAGAGGCGAAAGTACTCGCGTCATTATATCGATGGCGCGAAGAAGAGCGGGCACGGGGATGAGGCCGGTGCAGCAACAGATCGTGCTGCGCCGAGAGGAGCTCCGTCAGGTCTCAATGGTGGAATGGCGGCAAAGGCTTCTGCGCCCTACCAACGGCCTCGCTACCGTCGGGGCGATCCGGCCAGTACTCGACAACTGGCTCGAGAGAAGGCACGGCTCTCTGTCGTTTAGCGTGACGCAGGTGTTGTCGGGGGACGGCTGCTTCGGCAAGTACCTGTGCCGCATAGACATAGAGCCGGACTCTCGGTGCCACCACTGCGTCTATTGCGAGGAGGACATGGCGCAACACACGCTCGCCGAGTGTGTAGCTTGGGAGGAGCAGCGCCGTATCCTCACAAATGAAGTAGGAGGCGATCTGTCGCTGTCGACCTTGGTGCGGATGATGGTCGGTGGCGCAGAATTCAGGTGTCCTTCTGTGAGGACGTGAGTTCACAGAAGGAAACTGTGGAACGGGAGAGGGAGATCTCGACTCCCTTCCCTGGCCGCAGAAGGCACACCGGACGCAGGAGAAGGGCGGGCAACGCCATTTTCCGGCCCCCATGAATGGGTCTAGGGGCGAGGGACTTGGGGAAGCCCTCGCCCCCCTATTAGATGGACACGAGGCGGAGGCGCGCGCTGGTGTCGGCGCGCGCCTCTGAGGTGATACACGGGGTAGTTTAACACCTCACTACCCCGTGCGGGAGACAAAGCCCGTACAGATCGGGCCAGCACTAGTGTGGGGCTGCGGAAGAATTTGGATTCCCGCAGCCCCTCGCGCGCACGTGCGATTAGAAACTGGGGTGTTTTTAGCCGCTAAGAGTCCGGCACACTCCTCCGCCTTTCCCCAGGCAGAGGCAGTCTATGAGGATTTCCTTCCATAAAAAGAAAAGGTTAGGTTAGGTTAGGTTCCCCGCCGACCCGTGTGGAGTTGCCAGTCCTCCAATCGGGCGCGTCCCCAGGTGGCGGTTAGGGGAATGCCACTCAGATATGAGTGGTAGCGGGAAACCGTCGCGGACCAAAACTGACTGGGTTTGGGCGTACCTCTGGTTTCGAATGGAATCAGGTACCTGCTAGTTGCTTCCCGTATCCTCTCAACTGAGAGGAACAGAGGATGTAACATGCGCGGTGAGATGCCAGGTGCACTTGGCTTTTGCCGACGCCGGGCAACCCGTCATCGCGGGAATTGAACGGGCTCAGAGTTCCGTCACCCGGTCTCTGGGCAGGCATGGGAAGAACCCGTATCGACTCTGCCACCGTTCGAACCTCGGAATCCCTTTGGCGTGTCGTGGATCATGTCTCGCGGTGCCTGAGGGGCCGATGGCTCTTGGCTTAACCGTCTGGAGTCACGAGGATGATAACCTCTATAAAAAATCACCCGAAGCTCAAGCGTGGCACGCCGTGAGGAGCTGCATGGCTGATGGATAAATGTTCAGTCGTTAGCGTTGCCCCCCGTCAGGGTACCGGCCGACACCCTTGACGGGTTATGCATAGGCTTATCCGGGCAAAGGGGGGCTCTGCTCGGATGGACCGTTACTTCCTCCACACTCGTGGGAAAAAAATGAATAAAACTTTAAAAAATGTAGATATAGGAAAAAAGGATGGATCAGACGTGGATAGATCGCGTGGGACGTCTTTCGCCAGGAAACGTCCAGTGTGCCGGTCTTCGGACGAGGAAGGCCTGCCAGCCCCCAAGTTGGCGACTTCGAGGAGGGGTCGGCAGGCATCGAGAGGGGTGAGTGCTTCGCAGCCGCGAAGAGATAAGCAAGGACGATTCGTGTGCCCCAATACCTCGGCGGCTAGTGAAGCAGAGAGTGACATGGGGGTCACTACGGAGGACCCTGGCGATGGCGGTGAAAGCTGTGCCTCGCTGGGGAGTTCAAAGGCGGTGCTCAACGCCGCCAAGAGGGAACAGCGCAAAGCCGTCGCAGCAGACGAAGTGTCTGAGTGTCTGAAATGGCCCGACGCGCTCGCGAACGACGAGCTGCTCTGGCGGCGGAAAAAGGAGAGCCATCTGCGGTGGCCTTGAGCCAGCTGGCTCTGGATGGGGTGGACTTAGTCCTGAAAGTTGCCACCAAGTCCGGCAGCCTGAAGGGCACGTTCACCCGTGGCTTAAAGGAGGCTGCCGCGGACATCAGGGAGGCGGTTGGCATTCTCCTCAACAGGACGGCCTCTGACGAGGTCGCAAAGCTACAGGAGGAAAATAGCCGCCTCAGAAATGATCTAGAGGACCTCCGGCAGCAAGTCGCAGCACTGAGCGAGCAGCAGCAGAGATGCACATCCACCGATGCCGCATCTGTAGTGGCCCCGACTCCTGCACCGTGACCGACAAGCCCTCGTACCGACGAAGAGGTCGAGCGCATTGTCCGGCTCTGCATGCTCCAGTGCGGGAGCATGGTTAACGCTCGGCTGGAGGCGATTTATCGGCGTCTCCCGGCGGAAACCCTACGTCCGCCGTTGGCGGCTGACACGCGGAGA